CTGCATATGGGGCTGCTAGCCACAAGGCCAGCAGTTCGAAACCACCAGCTGCTCCACGGGCAAAAGATGCCATCCGCTTCCCTAAAGGGTTACAGCAGGCCGACGGGTGGCGGGAGGCGCCCTCACTTCCTGTACTCCCGCACTACGATGTAGAGGATGTGGAAGGCGATGCTGTTGAGGGCGTAGGCGTTGACCGTGGGCCGCAGGAAGGACAGGAAGCTGCTGACCACCGTGATGAGGATGACGAGGCAGGTGAAGTGGGTCCTAGGGTGGAGGGAGGCGGGGAGAAGGGGGCTCAGCTGGGGGCCAGGAGGAAGGGTCTGCTGGAGATCTGACCTCAAATGGGCGAGGAATGGGCAGAGATTCGAGGGCGCCCACTGGGGCTCCGAAGGGGGAATAGAGAGGCCCAGAGGACCCCGAAGAACCAGGGGGGGGGGCGGGGACGGGGTCAGTCAGTGAAGGGTCCCAGGGAACCCAGGTCGGGCGTTTTTTGTTTATTTGTTTGAAACCAACTTGTGTGCCACACACACACACACAAATCCAAGTTCACTTTAGTTTGTCTTTTCCTCGTTTTATGACCACTCAGATCAATGTTTAGATCTGATGGGGAAGGGATCTGAAGGGTGTTTAAAGCTAGCCACCCCCCCCCCCCACCTCTCTCTCTCATTGGTCTGGACACATAGCCACTCGTGTACAACAGAATGAAACCTTGTCCCATCCCGTGGCATCCTCTTAGGTCTAAGCCTGTTGATCTAACCACATTTATAAATTTACTTATCTTTGTTTGTGTTTATGCATACGTTTCCTTTTTGTTTGTGGAATATAATGCTTATACACACATGTGCGTGTGCACATGCACACACAAACCCCCTATTCTAAGTACTTGCACTCTCCTCATCCCATACATGTGGGCTTTTGAGCCCCGCCCCCCGACCCCCCCTATAGCCTCCTGTCTCTTCCCTCTTCTCATCTCCCGCTCCCCACCCCCATCTCTAAGTCTAACCCTTTGGTGTGGAAACCGGTTTCTCCTTTTCCCTATTTTCCTGTACAGTAATGGGATCCTAGAATATGTATCCTTAGAAGATTGACCAACTGTGCTGAGCTCAACGTTCTTTGAGTTTTTCCACGTCTTACGGTGTTTGCTGGACTCGATGCTCTTTGTTTGTCTGTTTGTCTATTTGTCTGTTTGTTTGTTTTTAAGGAGGCACGGGAGTCTATTGTGTGAAGGTACCAGAGTTTGCTTTCCCATTTCCCTACAGTTGGAGGTTTGGGTTGTTTCCATCTTTTGGCTCTTCTAGAAGTTGCTGCCAGAAACGTAGTGCATATGAGGTCGGGGTTTAGGAATCGCCCAGGGAAACCTTGGGCTTGGGGGCAATGGAGGAAGTGGGGAAGGAAGGGGGCTGGGGGAGGTGGGGATATGAGGGGAGGTGGGGGAGGCAGGAGAGAGTGGGGGGTGGAGGAGGTGGGTGAGAAAAGGTAGGGGAGGCAGGAGAAAGCAGGGGATGGAGGAGCTTGAGGATGGAGCAGGTGGGGGACTTAGGGGGGTGTCAGAGGAGGCTCCAACCTAGGAGGTTGGAGAGGATTACAGGAACGGGGGGTGGGGGGTGGGAGCAAGGGGAGAGCTCAGGAAGGCCCAGGTGAGTCTGTCTGCCTCAAGAAGAGGTTCGCAAATCACTAAGATGGACTCAGGGAAAGGAAGGTTTCAGGGAACCAGGTGGCTGCACCTGTGGGTCCCCAGAAAGAGTGAGGAGAGAGGCTCTGGCAGCCTGGGGTGCCTAGTCAAGTCAAGAGAAGGGGTCTCAGCTAAACTCAGGGTAGCGAGCTGGGGCTCCGGAGAGCCAGGGTGGCATGGAAGAGTCCTGGGACAGTGAGCCGGGTTGGACCGGGGGCTCAGGGGAACTGAGGCATAGGGTCAGGTGGCCTCAGCCGGCCAGGTGGCCTCAGGCAGGGTGCCCAGAGTACTCAGGTCCCACTATCCAGACAGCCCGCCCTGGCTCCCACACCTGTTCTTCCGAATGAAGGCCGGGTAGTAGCAGCGTGGCATCCAGATGCAGTAGCCACTGGCCAGCAGCCACAGGATGGAGAGCTCATCCAGCAGCTGCCCCAGGAAGCTCAGGGTCATGTGGAAGTACGTGGAGAACAGGCCTGGGGCAGAGGCCAGAGAGGTGGTCAGGTGGCTGCCGGCCTCCACCCTCTGCCTACAGCCCACAGCCCACAGCCCCACCACGCCCCTCCGCCCACTGCCCACCACCGTGCCATGCCCACTGCCCACCACCACGCCACGCCCACTGCCCACCACCGCGCCACGCCCACTGCCCACCACTGCGCCACACCCCCGTACCAATGACCACAAAGAGGATCCAAATGCAGTGAACGTAAAGAGTGCGCTGTTTGGCGTAAGGGTGCATCAGGAACATCATGAGTGGCCCGAGGATGAGGAAGGTGACATTGCTGATCTGGGGGTGGAAGGGTCACCGGCAGGGGTGTCAGAGAGGGGCAGGTGCCCTTGCCCCCAAATCAGCCAAGTCACTGGCCGGCTCGTAGGGCATTAAGCAGACCAGGGTTTGTCATTCGCCCCTCAGCTGGTCACCTGTCAGCCAGGCACCTGTCTATGTTTCACCCATCAACCATTCATTCATTCACCTGGCCACCCTGGACCAGCCAGGCCCTCACCTCTCATTTACCCACCAATCTTCCAGCAGGCCCGGGGCTGGTTCTTACTTGATCAGATCCTCCATTCCTTACTCTATTGGTTCATCCATTCAAGAAACAGCCAAAGATGATCTCTATGAGCACCGTGGCAGTTACATAGTTCCGTGTCAATTTGAAGATATAAAAGGGTAGGCGTGGAGTCCAGCCTGTCAATCAGATCAGAGCCTGATGGTACCTCCTTGTGGGCGTGGCCTTCTCATGAGGAGGGACCGGGAAGCCTCCCCTCTCACTCTTCCGCTGACTTCACCTTCCTGTTGACAAGCCACGCTGAGACCTGCAGGCCGGTGATGCAGCACCACCACTAGAGCCACACAACCCGGCACCCACTGGCCTGTGATCTTCCTGCATTCGGCATCATTGCATGTGGCTGCGTGAGTCTGAAGAGGGACTGATGGACAAGTATCAGACTTATGCACTTGAGTTGGACTGGGCTGGTGTGTTTTATCTTTTTTTAAAATTTTTTTAGAGAGTGAG